TCGGAGCGGCCTGTAGCTCAGTTTGTTCGTGCGAGACTGACAATCAGTAATCGAGAGATCTCAGGTTCGAATCCGATCGCAACGTATTTCGATTTTCACAGGTCGTTCTCTCTCTTTCCGGAGAGCCATCGGTTCACCGAAGTGAGTATCTCTGTCATGAGATTTCTCTAAATTGCAAGTGTTTATTATATAATAAATTTACTATGTATGTGTACACTATGTGTATAGCGAAGTTAGAATTTAAATTAATGTTTAAGACGTCAATAAATTATATCTATCTATATATAATTTTAGTGTATGACTATGTATAATTTTTTTATACATAATTACAATTTAGTAGATAAGTTGAAAACGCGCAATAATATGTAAAAAAATCATTGTAAGAATTATATAATAAACATATTGCTTTAAATTGTTTACTTATTTTACATTTAAAAAATATAAAAATAATATTGAAATCTTTTAAATGCACCATTTTATGAATCGCTAAAAGCTGCAGATCTTGCTCGGTTTCTGCCGACAATCTGACGTCAAGTCACGTTAGCAGATCTTGCTCGGTTTCTGCAGCCAATCTGCTGTCAGATTTTGTGAGCAAGATCTGCTCGATTTTTGGCACCAATTTGTAGACTTAATCAATAATAACAACTTCTGTATCAGATTTGTAGTTTTTTTGTTGACAACAGGTGATAGCAGACACTTGCATGATCTGCTTTTGACAGACTTGGCTATCTGGGTTTGGCAACAAAATCGAAGCCTAATGTGGACACAGTTGATGCTAATTTGCTGAGTATTTTTGTTTAAAATTGCTGACAGTTTGCCGGCAAATTGCGAACAAATTGTTTACTGGGATGTTCGTTTCTGTTCATTGTAATGATTTTTATATGTAACGGTTAAGTAAACTTTTATTTGTCTCACAATCGTGTTATATATTTTCTACAAAATATTGTTGGAACATCGCAGAAAAATTAGTTTTTGTAAGATTAAAAATATATTTCACATAATTACAGCAATCCTACACAGAACAAAAACTTCGTTAGACGTCAATAGCTCCATGCAATAGATGTCTAATAGAGTTTTTATTCTGTGTGGAATAATATTTCAGCAATATTGCAAATCTGTTGTAAAACGTAGAAACAATACAGGGTGTCCCAAAACTTCTGACCAAGCTGAAGTGCGAAAATAGATTGCGTCCATCTGAACGGAAAAGTTATATCATTTTGCAAAATTTATAATAGTTATTGAGTAATTAATTCATAGACATACAAATATAAACTGAATGAAACAGCGATCGAATGCAACGATGCAAAAAAGTACCGCGTCAATACGACGCTAAATGATACGTAAAGTAAGACATTACGTATATAACATTGTATATACGAGGTATACGCGAATAAAAACAAACAATCGTATTGCGCGACGTAGATTTCGCCCGAAAGTTATCGTCGTACGCGAAGTTAGTTAGATCTGTAAGCGTCGCAAGCTTGTTATCTCGCAATTTCCAGTCTATAGTTCTAAGTCTATGAGATAAATGTGACCCAATAAGCATGCGGGAAGAGTAGACGTACACTTACAGAGCTGGGGAAAATACATCGTTAATGTATTTGAAATACAAAATACAAAATACTGTCAATCTTAATATTAGAATTACAAAATACTTTCAATCTTGCGATTTGAAATACAAAATAGAAACTACTTCCAAATTGTTTATTTGAAATATAAAATATTTTTTTTTACAGAGTACTTTTTAATTCGATTTATTAATTACCATAATATATAATAAACTATATCACTTTTTTGTAGAATAGATTTTGAAAAGAAAGAGTTTTTATGTAGTAATATTTTGTCTAGAGAAATATCATCATATATAAAAAAGAAGTATTTAGTAAGAAAATACTTAATAATAGTAATAAAATAACTTAGTTTTTTTAGGTTTTTAAATTTTATTTTTTTTTTTTTTTTTTTAATTTAGAAAACATTTATACTACATTTCATGTAGTATAATTAGAAAGTTTTTAACCTGAAACTTCTGGCTTTCCGCGCCGTATAATAAATGTATATATGTATATTTATTATTTTTATTTTAATATATAATAAAATATATATATATAACAAACTATTTGAGATCTTGTAATGATAATACAATAAACTATATATTAAACTTCTCAAAGAAAGAAAGCGCTACAACATTGCACGGAAATATGAAAAATTAAAGTTTAAATCTGTCAGAGAATTCATACGTAAATATTGCTATAAAAATATTGTAATAGCATCATCTGTGAAAAAAATTATACTGTCCGGTACTCATTGTTAAATAAAATAATCAAATATAATTAAGTATTATAGTACAGTAATTCTAATACACAGAGGAATCTTTCTATCGAAGCAAAAGTTAACAGGAGACATATTGAGAAGATAGCATAACAATTGAACAAAAGCAACAATATTACTTGTCACAAACGAGAAAACAATTGAGGGCGATATCGTATCATAGTCAGACCTCTCTAATGTTTACAGTTTTGAGCGGATACTTGCTCGCTGCTTTCCTTCATTGCTGCAGCATACTGTAACTAGTAATGTCAGACTCAAGCCTGTTCTACAATACAGTCCTAAGCTGTAAGTCGTAAGAAATTGACCAATCACAGACAAATCACAGAAGAATAATCAATTGTTGTAGTCAATGTTTATGACAAGTGAATCAGCAATATGTGAGCAATGAGTTTTATTCATAAGTTGAAAAAAATAATATAAGTTTATTGCCGATGAGTTGTTGGGAACTTGCTGTTATTATATTTTGAAAACTGTTGCTGGCAAGAACATACTGAAAAGAGGATACACCTTTTTGTTGCATTGCTGAAAACTTATGAGCAATATTTGTGACAAGTTGCCATAGAGCTTATACTCATGGAGAGACCTTGCGAGCGCAAGGAGGATCGACAAAGAGAGATATATTTTTCTGTTTCAATTGTGGCCACTTCTTATAGAAGAGAATAACAGAGAACACGGAGTGGGGGAGCCACAGTTGAGACAAAATATATCCAAATATATCTCTCTTTGTCGATCCTCCTTGCGCGGCCCTCTCTATGGTTAGCATATAGGCAGGGCCTCTCCATGAGTATAAGCTCTATGCAAGTTGCCAACAACTTGCACTCAGTTGGCTATCTGGGTAATTGTAAGTACAATAAGCACCGTGTAAGTACAATAAATACAGTAGCTTTGTGCGTTCTTTTTGTTATCACGTGG